AATTTGTTAGTCTCTAAGGTGCCACAAGTACTCCTGTTCTTTTTGCGGATACAGACTAACACGGCTGCTACTCTGAAAGACTAACCTCACGTTACACAAAACCTTCCCCGCCAACTGCAGCCGGCAGCGTAGGCAGTGAAGTGAAAGAGGTAGTAGCTCCAGAGAGATTGACCCGGCCTGCTCTCCGCCCCCGTGCTAAGAGGTCCAGGCTGGTAAGACAGTGATGCTAAACCAACAGGCATGAGGGACCTCCCCAGAAGGCATAGGCTGTGCAACCACTAGGCGAGGAATTCCAATGCTATTTTACACCAGCTCAAGCTTTCATCAAGGTAAGGATCAGCCCACTGCGGCAGGCCAGATCAGACCAACCCAGTGGCTGATCTAGTTTGGTAGTGGGTCTCCCGGCTATGCCAAAACAGAGCTACCGTCCATCCAGCCCTAGGAGCTCACCTCTGAGAATCTCAGAAATCGATGGTGGGATGGGACCTCGAGCCCAGCCCCCTGCTCTGAGGCAGGACCAAGTAAACCTAGCCCACCCCTGAGTGGTGTTTGTCCAACCTGTCTTTAAAAGCCTCCCTTGGAAGCCTATTCCAGAGCTTAACTGTCCTTAGCGTTCGAAAGTCTTTCCTAATATCTAACCTGAATCTCTCTCCCTGCAGATTAAGCCCCGTTCTTCTTGTCCTACTGCCAGTGGACACGGAGAACAGTGATCACAGCCTCTTTATAACATATCTGAAGACTGCGATCAGGTCCCCGACTCCCCCTAAGTCTTCTTCAGACTAAACATGCCCCGGTGTTGCAGAAGGTGAGTCAGTTACCCAGCATGGCCTGGTGGTCAGGGCAGTGGAGAAGGAGCTAGGAGACCTGGGTTTATTCCTGACTCAGCCGGATGACCTTGGGCAAAGTCACTTCCTCTCTCCGGGCCTCTTTCCCGTCCTTTGTCAGGCTAGATTGCCAGCTCTTTGGGAGCAGGGTCTGTCTCTCGCTACGCGTCTGGGCAGCGCCTGCCACAACGGGGCCCTGATCTCCGAGCAGGCCTGGAGGGGCTACTGGAACAGATGTTGATAATAATGCACAGCAGTGTGCGGAGGTGTGGGCCTGGGGGGAGATTCCTTCCTGCTCAGGGGCTGGGGACGAACCCCTGCCTGGAAGTTGTAGGCAGGTTGGGAGCCCTAGGTTTAGCCTCCGCCCGTGTGCTCCAGCGCTCGAGGCGACGTGACGTGACCACAAGTTAGAAACGAACATCGTTGCCAATGTGCTGACTGTTAAAACCAGCATCCCACGCTAAAAATAAGGCCCTGGATAAAACTCCAGAGCTCCCGTCCCTCCCCCGCCCCGCCCCCCCGTGTGGTGCCCTGCCAGCCTAGGCCGCCATGACGTTCTGGATGCCCAGCTGCTCCTTGAGGCGCTGCAGCTGGGCCAACGTGATGTTGTTGCCCCCGCACACGACGATCACCAGGGAGCCCAGGGCACGGCCCAGTTTCCCCTCCGCCTGCAGCCTCTGCACCACGCCGCTGTAGACGGCAGCTAGCGCCGCCCCGCAGGCCGGCTCCACCAGGATCTTCTCATCGTCTGCACGGGGGGGGAGGGAGGAGAGATGAGGGAGGGGCTAGCTGGTGCTCCGAGCGGCCTTGGGGTCACTCGCCCATCCCAGGGGCGAGCAGGGGTGGGGGGTGACACGGAGCTGGCTGCCCCGGGTGGTGAGCTGCTGGCCCATGAACGGGGAGGGGGCTCACCAGCTTCAAGGCGCCGACGGGGGGGTGGGGGGGAAAGTTGGCCGTGATCCATGACAGCTCTCGGGGGAAGGGCCAGTGGAGAGAACAAGCCACAAACGGGCTGGGAAAACTTGTGGGGGGGGCTCTTCCCCTCCCGAGGGCAAAGCTAGGAGAGAATGACCTGTTTGGCCACGGTCAACGCAGCCACTGCTCTCCCCTGTAGTCAGGGACACGCAGGACCTAACTGACCACCCCCCCGGGGTAATGAGAACAGCAGGGGGCGCTCTCGCTTGCTCTGTCGGATTCCCCTCCTCCGCCCCACAGGCCGTTTCTGAGCGAGGAAGCAGGGAGGGGATAGGGTCAGCGCGTGGAGGGAGGCTTGTTAGCCTGTCAGGGACTCGGGGACAGCTGTGGCTCTAGGGAACACAGCGGGTTGCAGGAGAGGCGTTCTCATTGGCAGTCACAGGATGCATTGCCCCTTTAAGAGGCAAGGGGACCAGTTCCTTTGCTGCTTCTCAGTGGGGCCAATTTAGCCCACCTGGTGCTACTTCAGTTGGTGGCATCTGTCCCAGCTGGGTGGGGCCAGGCGTGCTTTCTATAAAGAGGACCCAGGCAAAGGTCTGAGTGGCAGCAGCAGGCAGAAAGAATCTCAGAGGAAAGCCCCAGGGGGGGTAATTGTTTGGGGTTCAGGTTTAAAAGCCAAGGCATGGGGAGGACTGTTTAAAAGCTTCATTTGTCAGGGTGAGTGGGAAGGGGAGAATCTAGTGCTCCTGCACATCAGGAAGGGGAGTGGCCCGAGTTTTAGGAAGGATCTGGAGAAGCAGTCCCGTGTGACATTTTTGTTAAGAGTATGGTTTGGGCTGGGAGAGGAGCCCTGGCCAGGTTCTTCCGGTGGGTTTTAAAACACCCTGTCACCTGTGGGGGACACTTTTCACAAAGTGATCACTCTAGAGCGGACCCCTCAGCCCTCCTCCTCAAAGGAAACCCGCACAACCCTTTCAAAAGGTGAGCCGGGGAGCTTAAATTCATAACTTTGCTAGATACTAAAAATCATGGACTGAACAGACACTGGATTTATGGCTTATTACAGCAATCTGTAGCCCACTAACAACCCCCCCTCCCCGCTGCCTTCTCCCCCTTCCTCCCATGCTTGGAGGGGTGTTAATGGGCCACTTTACCTTGAAAGGTCCCCTGAAATAGATGTTAACTACTTATGCTAAACAATCTGTCCCACCCTGTATTTAGCTCTGACGCTTGTTCCCCAGACCTGAAGAAGAGCTCTATAATGATTTGTGAGACCTGCAGGGATGTGAACCTGCCACTAGGAGGCAGCAGGAGGCCTTGACCTGTTACAGGCACAATCTGGTACTGGGGCAGCACCTGCTTGGGGGTGGGCAGAAGGGTGAGGAGCCTGCAACTTGCAGGGAAATGGTCAGCCATTGTGTGGGGCTGACTTGGCAAATGAATGGGACACAGACCGTCCCTGCCGTGCTGTACGACTAGAACCCCCCGGCCGTGGTCAGCGGGGCTATTTTAAATGTTTCTCTTCACCTCTGGGGAGCAGCAATGCCCTGGAACAAAGGACCCTCCTTTGGCGTGTTGCTGTCTGGGGAGGGGGGGGCTGTTACGTACCCACAAACTTTTCGATGGCCATGACTGCCTCCTGGTCCGTGACGACCTCTGAGAAGACTGGGTGCTCTCGGGCCAGCTTCAGCGTCTCCGCTCCCACCGTCTTTGCCCCCAGGGTCTTTGCAACACTGCAGCCAGGAGAGGAGAAGAGGAAAGAGACATGTCAGCTGGTGATGATGGAGTCCCCACAGCATACCCTTGTAAGGTCAGCGCTCTCTATCCCTGCGAGCATGCAGGCAGACAGGTTTTTTTCAGGCAGGGCCCTGTGGGATCTTGGGGTGGAGCCCCACTGACCCCCCCCCCCCCACATTCCCCTTGCCAGAGCAGGGATCCCTGCATTCATGCTGCATCTCTCTGTACAGGACGGAGTGCCCCAGCTTTAGTGCTGCTACCACATTGGGTAGCACTGAGCAATCCCTTGTCTGAGCATCTTCCCTTGGCCCCCGTCTCTGATTGGACAGACAGCCCTTTCAGTTCTCCCTTGCTGCCATCGGCTGTCCGTGGCATGAGTTACCTGCTGGTGAAGCCTGGTTCCTACCTCTCCCTAGAGCACAAAGGAGCTTAATTTTGTAGATCTGGGCCCAAGTGCTTACCCCCATCTGCAGTGCCCAGAGAACTTTGCCCCCCCGTGGGGCAGCATTGTTGTGCTATGCACAGGAGGGGGCTGGGTGGAGGAGCAAGTCAAACCCAAATAGCATCCAAGACATGTAGGCTGCAGAGTAGAGAACAGGGAGGGGAATCGTGAGGCTGCCGCCTCAAGTGTCTCCTCCATCAGCCCCCAAGCCGTGGTTCTGCCTAGCCCACCCCAAGCCACGGCTCCTCTCCCTTAACATTGGGTCACAGGCCGAGCGCTCCGGTTCGCCCTCCTCCTCTCACTCACCTGGTGATTTCTGGCAGCGTCACCAGCTGCCCAGCAGCCATGGCAGCATTCAGGCTGTGCGCCCCTTTGGTCTCCATGGCAACAATGGGCACATCCTCCCAGCCTGCCTCACGGAGGCCCTGGACCACTCCGCACAGCATCCCGCCGCCTCCTACAGACAGGGCCAGCGCCCCAGGCTTGGAGTCCAAGTCTTCCTTCAGCTCCTTCACTATGGACGTGTGGCCTTCCCTACAGGGAGATAGCAAGTGGGATCGGGACCAGGGGAAGGGAAGGCCATGGCTAGAGATGACCCGAGATCAACAGTCCTGACCCCGTTTATCTAGAAGAGGCTGGAAAATACAGGTCTTGATTCTTCTTGGCGACACCAGTGTCATCCCTGAGTTCAGTGGAGTTACTCTTGGTTCACTCCAACATCAGAGAAGCTGGGTCTCCCCCAGTCTCGGATACTTTGGTTTAGCAGCCTGAGACCATTTCAGCTTTGAAAGAGTCATGCGGCTCAGGCTGCATCTCGCTGCCTATGGGGACGAGTGACACCTCAGAACAGGCCCAGACGTGAGAACTAGAAGGCCAGGGGTTGTGTGGACAAGCAGGCTGAGGTCCCGCCTCCGTCCAGGGTGGGAGGATCCCTGTAAGTCTTCCCAGCTATAGGACTTTCTAAGGCACTTGTCCCAATGGTACTGAGACGCAGCTGTTGTTTTTAGGGCAGGGGTGGGGCGTATCAGTGCCGGGGAAGCCCAGATCTGAACGAACATGGAAATGGGCGTGGATTCCCTTTCTTACGCCTTTTAGCTCCCAACCCAGGTTCAATGCACAGCTATCCAGGCTAGGCTGGTGGCAGCGGCTTCTGTGGAAGCGCTGACTTTAGAAATTCACCATGTGGTGCGTGGGCCACAACAGTGGGTGGTCAATAGACGTGCACTCTCTCTCCATGCTGGGTCCCACGCCTGGTGCACCAAGAGATGGTGGCCACACCAACGCAGTCCAACCAGAGGGTGAAAGCTGATGCCCAGATAAATTTGTTAGTCTCTAAGGTGCCACAAGGACTCCTCGTTCTTTTTGCTGATACAGACTAACAAGGCTACCGCTCTGAACTCTGCTTAGATAGTCCACCCCCTTGTGTGGACAGAATGACCTTGTTGGGGCTGCATGCAGCCGGATTTAATCTCGGCCCACGGTGACTCAGGCTAGCAGGGATGTTAATAGGCAGCAATGGCTAAAACGAAGCCTTCCAGCCTCTGGTGTCCACCCCTCCCTCAGGCCACATACCAGATGAGGGGATCATCGAAAGGGGGCACATAGACCCAGCCAGGGTTGTTCTTCACCAGCTCCTTGGCTTGTTCTATCGTCTCATCCAGCATCTGCAGAGAAGAGACGTTTTATTAGCCACTCACAGCAGCTTATGGACAGAACCATGAACCTCACCGCCAGTGGGGCAGCTCCCTCCGCAGATCTGTCCCAGTCCTGGCTCTGGAGCATGGTGGGGGTCTCACCCCAGGCAGGCAGTCTGCTCTCTCTCATATACCCCCTCACCCAGCCATGCACATACCTACCTCTCCCACAATGCAGACAGTGGCCCCCTCGTCTTTCAGCCGCTCGATGGTGAAAGCTGGCGTGGACGTGGGCACAAGGATAGTGGCTGGGATGCCCAGTTTCCTGGCAGAGTAGGCAGCTGCCAGGCCAGCATTGCCACCTAAAAGCAACCACATTGGGCCTCATGGTTTCCTGCATCCCACCGTGCAGTAGAAGTCACGGTGCTGCCTCCGGTGCCTCCCAAAGCAGAGTGTCCCTCTGCCCTCTTCTTCGGCCCTCCCCAAGCCTGGCGGCTGCCCAGGAGTTTCAGGAGGTGTGGGAATCTTGCAGCACCCCAACAGGAAGACAGTGTCAGGGTGTGGCAGGGAGGTGGGGAGGATTGTAACCTCCCAGGAACTCAACATTGCATTTCCCAGTGACCAAAGATGTCTAAAGCCCTGTTGCCACCCTCGCATGACCCACACCAATACCATCACTGGGGCTTCTCTTCTTTTGGCCATTGTCCCACCAATAGCAGCACCAGCCAGCAGGAGGCAGCCTGGATTTGGATTCCTGGGCATCCTTGTGGGCATTATTTACATCCAGGCCCAAGGAGAGGAGCTAGCACCCGGGAGTTTCTGGGGCAGTGTGGGCTTGGGTGTGACACAGCCACCAGCCCCCTCAGGGAGCCAGGCCCTGGGTTGGTGTATCTCACCTGAGGAGCATACGAAGCGCTCGCAGCCTCTCTCCGCCCACTGTGGAGACAAAGCAAGAGGAAGGAGTGAGTGGGAGTGAACGTGGCCTCAGCCGGTGACTGCACGAGAGCTGCTCCTCTCTCTGCAGTCTAACCCCTCCAACCCCTTTGATACTTCAGGTCATTCTCCTTTTATGCCTCTCGTCGGCCCCTTCCGTAGAGTCTCTGCATCACCATCAAAGCCACCATGACCACGCAAGGCCAAGCAGCAGCCTCCCTTCTGCTCCCGCAGCCCCAGTAATGTGGAGTCTCAGCAATTTCCACCCTCCTCTTCCAGTCTGAGAGCAGACGGTTCGGTGGGCGCCTGCCCGGGGTCAGGTGTCTGCTATGGGACTGCTGTAGTCTGCTGCTCAATGGCAGCCAGTTGGAGAGATGTAGGGAGCATAGCTAGTGTCCACTCCAGGTGGGCCCAGGAATCCAGGCCAGGTTCTTCCCCTCCTAGGGGTTGCACCAGAGTCCATTCCAGGTGGGCACAGGAATCCAGGCCAGGTTATCCTTAGTCACCCCTAGTTAGAGGTCAGGCTTCATGGGCTAATGCTCCCTACAGTATATGGGATTGCTGCAGGGAATGCCCGAACTGGATTGCTGTGCCTGCTGCAAATGGATCCCAGATTCCCAGCTACCCGCCGTCTCTCCACCCCCACCCCCACCCCCCTGGCCAGCAATGGCACAATCCAGCTTGACTCTGCAATCTTCTTTCCCCACCAATCGAACTTTGTGCCCTTGGCAGTGCCGCTCAGAGTCTGTACCATTTTACAGAGGTGGCCGATGCCCCGGATTTTAAAGGAGCCCGTGGGCTGAGCATTGTCCAGCTTCAGGTAGACGTTGGTGCCAGCCACCTTGGAGAGCGGGACGCTGTCCCTCAGGGGCGTGTTCACATGCAAGCTCCTGGCAGAAGTCATGCTGGGCTCTGAGGGAATAAGGGAAATAAGACCCATCATCAGGACCCAGGATATTCTGTGGGTTTATCATGGAACCCACTCCTTGCTACGGATTTATGCTCCGGGGTCTCAGTTCCCATTTTATAGAGGTGTGAGCTGCCTATTCGTTTCAATGAACTGTTGACACTGAAGCCTAATAATGGCTCAAGTGTCGGGATGGTTAACTGTTTCACTGCTGATCATTTCAGCTAATTTATTTATGCCTCACCTCCAAATTACCTCCTCCCTAGGCATAAAAAGCCCCAACTCCCCCTACCCAGCTGTTCCAGCTTCTCCCTTCTCCCACGTGGACAATGCAAAAAAATCAGTGTCGCAATGAAAGTGTGGAACCAACATCAAATAACCAGGGGATCTTGTTGCAGAATCGACACCCAATTTGCCCTGGGGTACATGGGTCCCTGCCCAAAATGTCACCCTCCCAAGGCTCTCTCTGGCCACCTCTATCCAACCGCCGTGGCCTCAGGTCCATCCACTCCCTCTTCTCAGCTCTTGGTGTAGATCTGGTCCCCTCTGTGCTCCCCAGCTACAGGCCATGCTGGACTGTCTGCCGGATTTGTCCGAGTCTCATTCTCTCTGTAGATTTTCACATTAAAACCTTCCTTTGCCCCTTAGCTTATGGCTCCCTTTGGCTAAGCACTTTGTGTCCCTGGGTGTGACAGATGTCATTCAGGATGAACTGCACTGGGGGGAATGGGATATGGAGCCTTTCAGCTTGAGGGGCCAAATCCAGACCTGGCCTGAGTGCCACTCCCATGTGACCCCAGGTCAGTCAGTAGATTGTATCCCAAGCCCCATCGTCCATTTGTGTCTTTCTTCCACTCCTGTCCTGTCTTCCACGTGGCCTGCTAGGCGTGGGCACAGTCTGCCATGTTCCTACCCTCACTCACCCTTCGATAATCTTCTCAAAACACGGCGAGGTCTATAAACCCACCTTTTCCCCTCAATGACGGGGAGTAAATGACACCCGCAAAACAGACCATGGAACTAGTAAGATGCCTGTGTAACATCCCCACCACAGGCCAGCAGCAGGATTGCAAATTGGGGCCTCCAGGGGCCTCCTTGCTGCTGCCACTTGAGTTACAGTAGCTTAACAGCAGTAGTGGGCTTTTATCCTCTACATGGACCAGCCACTAGAGGGGGACATAAGACACTTGGCTAGCGTGGTTAACCTGGCACACTCAATCACTGCCCCCCATCCCTTGTCTATCGGTATGTCTGGAAGGTAGGTTCTTTGGGGGTCAAAGACCTCTCTTCATTTTTGTCTATAATCTCCTTAGAATGCACTGAATTGATACATCAGTGGAGCTGGTCAAAAAATGCGAAGTTTTTTTTCTTCCATGAGAAACTTGAAATTGTTTTCATCTTGTGCTAATTTTTTCCACAGAATTTTAGGGATTTTTATACCTATATAAAAATGCTTTTTGTTTTTTTGCCCCCTTTTTTCCTCTCACTGCATCCAAAAGAAACATACATGAATGTTTCTCAGTTTTCTTTGAAAAATTTCAGCCAAACAAAATGTTTTGATTTGGTCAAAAAGCCATTGTTTGTGGTGGGATTGGGGGGGGGGGGAGTTGTGATTTTGTTGTTGTTGTTGTTGTTACCACCAGCTCCATGAATCAGTAATTATTAGTAAAGAGTAGATCTGGCCAGCAATATGGTTTTCCTGGTCCATGAAAACTTTTGCGATATCAAAAAATGTTCCCTTCCCGAATCAGGACAAAATGTCAAACTTGAAAATTCCCACAAATTAAAAATCTGAAATAAATTTTGGTTCTGGTCAATTTACATGTTTTGTTCCAATTTTGATCATTTTTTTTTTACTTATAATTAGCTTAAAAGTTGAAACAAAGTTATTTTGAGTTGGCAAACTGGACTTTTTTTATTTAGAACATGGCAAAATGAAACATTTTGGCAATTCTGAAACTTTGTTAAAAAAAAATTTTCAGTTGAAACATTTCTCAAGACTGACCTTTTCCCAGGAAAAGTTTCGTTTTTGACAAATCAGCATTTTCGGATGGAAAGATGTTTTGGTGAAAAATTCCCAACCAGCTGTGGAGATCAGGGCCTCCTGTGTAGCATTCCCACCTAGCTTTGTGTGGAATGACTTAGGGGTTTCAGTCCCATTCCGTCACTGCAGCCCACCCCCCTAGGTGGGCCTAGTTAGCATCTAGGCAGAGGACTGACCATACCATGGTTCTGAACTCCTATCTCGTCCCAGAAGTGGAGACAGAGGCACAGTGTTGGGGCATGTGTGTGTGAAACTAACCCTGCTACTGCCCGCACTGCATCTGTCTTCAGACATGAGTCCAACCAGGGGATTTCATTCTGTAGACATGCACAAGGCAAAGATCCTGCTGCTAACTCAGGGACAGCCTATTTGCAGGGGGGACACGGTCTCGGAGCTGAAAGAGATCCCCCCTGCTGCAATGCTGCTGTAAACCCTTCTCTTAGCTCTGGGCCTTACCTCAGTGCCATCCCATTTACAGCTGATCCCCCTGGAGGATCATTTGCCAGGGGAAATACACAAACAGACCATCCCTGTGAAGGCAAGTCGCTTGGCACGTGGGGCTGGGTCAGAGGGTGGGGAGGGAGGAGAGGAGAAGGCTACACCATTGCCCCACAGCATCTGCTCTGGCCATCTGGCTGCCTGTGGCTCCAAAGTGAGTCCTTCTTGGTTAGATAGGCACTGGCAGAAGTGCAGGGACTTGGGAGTTAAAAGCTAGAAAAGGAAGGGAGGAATGGGAGAGGGGTCCCCAGAGATCCAGCAGGGAAACAGAGGCATGAGGCAGCCTGTGTGTGAGGGAGAGACAGCGAAGCAACCTCCTTTGGAATCCTGCTTATTACTGTTAAAAATGTGCAGAGCCCCGTGGCGCTGCCTGACTCCGCATAGGTTTGAGCAGCTGCCTAGCCCGTCACAGGAACCCGATCAGTCATTACTGGACTTGCACTGGACAAAGCAGTTGAGGGACAGTTTTGTGAACAAGTGGCCACTTATTCTGGCCTAAAAGAAATCTCAGGTCAGGCACCAAAGAAACCGAGACAATCAAAAAATCAGGGGCCAGTTTTGAAAATGACTGTCCTTCGTCTTCAAAGATCTTCAGCTGCTAAGGTGATGAAAGCACAATAGGTAAGTAGGAGCACTTCTGAAACCTTCCCTAATTCAGCTCACCAAACCTCTCTTCTGAAGCTTGAATCCAGCCACCCAACAGCCCTCTGAGCCAGGGAAATGCTGTTATCATCAATGCGTAGATGGGGAAACCGAGGCACGGAATGATGAAGAGTCAGTGTCAGAGCTGGGATTAGAACACAAGTGCTTACAGCCCTGTGCGCTGACCACACCTTCCTATGTATGGATTAGGAACAGATGATAATCTCACTGTGTGCTGGGAAAGGAAGAAAGTGAAGGCACTTACCGGTTAGCGTTAGAGCAGAGCGGCAGGGCCTTTAGCTAATGTATGCCCTGATGGCTTAGAGGCTGCAGCTGTTCAGTGTAGGAGTGAGCAAGGCTGCCGGTCTCCTGTGGTCCCTTCTCGGCAGCTAGGGTAATCTGTGGAGCCACGGTCTCATTGGAGGATGCTAGTCCCTTGGCAAGTTTTATAGGCCCATGGTTTGTGCTTGGTGGCCAATTGGGGAATGGGGCACCCCCCCACACCCCCTTGCCTCTGATGTCATTCCCCTCCCCTGCTCAGCAGAGAGATTCCAGCTAAAGGGAAACCAGCAGCAACAATACCAAAAGGGAAGAGGTCAGGGAGGGGGAATTCTTCAGGCTCTTTGCAAAAGGGAAAGAGCCTATTTCAGGCACTCCCCTGCCAAAAGGAGGGTGACGCACGCTGGGGAGGGACATTGCTCAGACAAAGGTTCCTTGCATCAGATGTTTCTGAGCCGGCTCAAACCAGGCTGAAGAGCCAGGTCTGGAATTATGATTAGGGGGAAAGGCAGGGGGGCCCTTTTGCTTTCACAAGGCCAGCCAGTCCCCTTGCTGTCTCAGAGAAATGCACGCAAGGGACTGGAACAGACGAAGGGAGTTCATAAACCGGAGATCTCTGCTTCTCCAAACCTGGCTTATTTTTATTCTCTCTCCTACCCCCATCTTTCTCTCACTCCCGCTTCGCCTCCAGACTTTGGAACATTTGCATCTCTATAGTTAGTTACTTTTTAAGAGGCAGTGTCATGAAATGATTAAATGGGGCAGGACTTCAGGGTTCTATTTGCTCTTGATTTTGTGTGATCAGGGACAAGTCAGTTAGCTTTGCTGGGCCTCCTCCCTCCATCTACCGGCACCTCCCAACTATTTCAAATGAGAAATAACAATACTAATCTCCGTTCATTCCCAGCCTGTAGAAGCAAATGCTGGATTGGTTTGGTATTCTGTGTGGGGAGGGAGGTGAGCTAGAGAGTGCGGGTATGTTGAGTACGGAAAGCTAAGTCAGAGAGAGTTTTTTGAATTTAGTTCTGAAAATGGTGAGCCTGGGATCTCTTGTGGCAGGGAGTTCCAAAGTCTACGTTCCAGCTGGTCTGAAAGTTCTGTCTCCTGCCCTCTGAGCCTCCCCATATACATTCACAGTTATGTAGTTCGGGGGGGGGGGCTTAGCTGTTCTGTGTGGTTGTGATGGTGGTGTCACTCCGGTAGCCTGGGCCAGTCACAGGGAGGGTGTTGAGTATGAGGACAGAAGTCTTGCCCTGGACTCGCTATTCAGTGGGGACATGGTACGGAGAGTAGATACCGGGGGGTGGGGTGGAGGCACGTGATGACCTAGCGAGGGGCTGCTGCATTTTGTCCCAGTTGGTGCTTTTTCAGGGAGTGTTGTAGACATAGAGGGCCGGAGTCTCGTCTCACTTACCCCACTCTGAGGCCAGTGTAATACCACTGACTTCCATGAAGATTCACTCCTGATTGACACTGGTGTAGGGACGAGACTCTAGTCCAGTGAGTTGCACTACACATGCCTACATGTCACCAGTGTATGGCTCGCCGTGGGCAGGTCTCTGACCAATGGGTTGGGATGCAGTCCACGGGTCAGTGGCAGCTGGAAGTGGGTGTTTCGGGCGCTCTTTGAGCAGCTAACAGCACCGGCAAGTCCAAACAGATCGTAAGGCTGCAGAAGGATTTGGCAGTGTGAGGTCAGGTGCCCTCGATCGTGGAGAATGTTGCAGGCTATTATTATTTGCATTACCACGGACCAGGACCTCACTGTGCCAGGCGCTGTACAGGCACAGAACAGAAAAGCGATCCCTGCTCCGAAGAGGCGGCAAGTTCTTCAAAGCACTTCTCTCTTCCTACCGACCTCCCGTCGGTCTCACCTGCATTCGGCCTTAGCCAGCTGCTCTTTATCCAGGGGCTGAATTTGGCTGAGCGAGTGGGGAGATGGGGCCGTCGATAGCCAGGAGTGTGGCATACTGCCTCCTGCTGGCACTGCTGCCCTGAGCATCTCCCCAGCTCCTCCCATGGCCTCCTGCAGGTGGCGACTGGCAATGGGGGTGGGATTGGAGCCCTACAGCTGAGGGCTGTGCAGGTGGAGCCGTTGATGGGCCCTTCCGCTCACCGTTATGGCTTTTTTGGGGTCAGGAGTATCCAGTGGTTGGCAGAATCAAATGCAAACATTATTCAACTGGATCAACCTTCTCCACCCTGAATTCTGTACACCTTAACGTGTCCCATTGTGTCATTGCCCGGGCTTGAGCAGTAACAGCCCCCCAGGGGAACTGCCCCCTCACGCAGCCCGAACCCCCTTGGACATAGTGAAATGCCGGGAATAGAATGAGAGCCCGCCATTGCTCCTGGGCTCGGGGATCCAGGCCGCGGCTCCACTTCAGAGTTGCGTTAGGCCTCTGCCCTGTAAGCCTCTGCTGATTGGGGCCCTGAACTGCATTACAGGAGGACTCCGCTGTATCCCGCGGTGAGCAGGAGAACGGGGTCCGCCAACCAAGCTGCTCCCCCAGCTCGTGCCTGTCGGTTATCCCCATGCCGGTGCCCCGTCGGCTGACGCTGCTTTGCTCCGGGTTTGCTGTGCTCGAGCTGTTGTGGCGTTTGTGGTTCTCCGGGTTTGCTGTGCTCGAGCTGTTGTGGCGTTTGTGGTTCTCAAAGATTGCTCAGGTGCTTTGCTTTCCCCCCCCAAAGCCGCTGCGAATCAACCTGCAGCGGAAGAGCTGTATTATCCCCAAGGGGAGGGGAATACACAGCTTGAGCCAACAGACAAGAGGGGTGAGGTGACTTGCCCAGGGGCACCTAATATCTGTGGCAGACAGAGGCAAAGAATCTGGACGTCCCGATGCCCAGCTCTGTGCTTTAACCACAAGACAATGCTTCCTCCCCTACTGCGCTCCCGCACCCCCACCTACAGTAGCTCTGCCAATCTACCTCAGCCCACAGCCCCCCTGCTGCTCTCCCTGTCCTGGGTCCCCCACTGCTGATCCACCTCACGCTCAGACTCTGCCGCAGCTCCTGCGGCTTCAGTCCTAGAACCCCCAGAGCAGGATGAGAGTGCAGGTCTCCAGGACTGAGATACTCATGCCCTGGGACTCCCAAGTCTTTAATACCCCGGCCCCAATTCTCAGTGCATGAATGGACAGAGAGCAGGGCACCTGGAGAGACTGTTCCAGTGAACAGGCCTTAATTGTGCTGTAGCTTTAAACTATCGGAGGAGGCAGGGGATCCCCCGAGCGGCTGCAATGCAAGAGTAGAGTGAAACGTCGCCCGTTTCATCAGACACAGGGCACCTGCCACTGGCTGCTGGCCAGGGTGAGTGTCTGGCTCTGCTACCGTGGGCAGCTCGCACTCTCAAGCCAGATCCTTCCTGCTGATCTGTTCAGCCGGGAGAAGGCGATTACTGGGGTCTGCAGGGGCTGGAATGTGAGGAGGGGACTGAGGAGTTAGGAGGCAAAGGAAAGAAAAGGCGGTGGGGACATTGGATGGACAAATGGGGATGTTTCATTTCTAATTCGTCCCTCAACCCCAAGGAGGAGCACACACCCTCCCCCCACCCCCACCCCGGGCCAGCTCAGACAGGCTGCCCTGGGGAAGTCCGGGGTTCTCACCCAGCTGATGGAGTGTCATAATTCTGCTCATGCGCCATGGAGCAGAGTGCTGACTGGGGGCTCCCCTAAGGACTCGGGGTGTCTCCCCCTTTATTGCAGTTCTCCCCAGCTTTCTGTTTAACCGTCAACCTCCCTCTCCTCTCTTCCCCTGCTTCCACACCCAACTTTTCCTCCGCTCTCTCCTCTCCCTGCAGGACTGACCCCCACCCGAGCTAGCCTGGCAGAGCTGTTGAGTGCCAGGTGCTGCCCTCTGACCATTGTGCCTCACAGCTGGAGGGGGGTGGAGGGGAAGCAGGGGCTGCTGGAGTTGCTTGTGCCAGCCTCGCTCTCCCTTGGCAACTGGGCTAAGAGAAGAAAAGCTCGGCAGGAAACCTGCCCCGAGCCAGGGGCTGAGAGCGTGGAGCCCCCTCCTTCTGCCGGGAGATGCAGGCCCAGGCCAGCGAAGAAGCAGACAAGCGATGTCATTTCCTAAGGGACCCTGCACTAAACGGCTTAGATAAATATTTGCCCCTGGCCCTGGGCTGGTCCAAAGGTTTTCCCTCGGACTTCAGCAGGAGCAGGTTGGGAGTCAGTTCTCTGAGCTGTCACACACTTTTGACCTCTTAGTCCCTAGGGATCTGTCCAAGCTCTGTGGGCGGGGCGGGGAAGTTAAGGTAGTCTGTGCCTCACGGAGAAATAAACCAGACAGTGGGAAGCAGCTGTGAACTTTAATGGTGATTATTAGTGTACGATCAGGGAAACGAAGCATTTTTTAATGCGGGCAAAACATATTTGCCCCTAGCTTCACTGGCAGAAATGACTGATCTGTTTTAGCTGAAACTTAAAAAACAAACAAAAATCAGCTTGTGGCAAACACCTGGTGTGGAAAATGTCATTAAAGTTTGGCGAGTTGTAAGCAACTGAAAACAGGGGCTTACAATGGAACGTGTTGGGCAACCTTAACTATAGGTGGTGGTGTGCTGCCTATAATAATAATGTGCAAGCGTTGACGAAGGACGTTAATGATTGTGGGGGTGATAGGCGCTTACTTTTATTTTTCCTTGGGGGTGCTCCGCCCTTGCTCCGCCCCCTCCCCAAGGCCCTGCCCTCGCTCCGCCCCCCGAGGCCCTGCCCTCATTCCACCTCTTCCTGCCACCGCTCAGCCCCCTCCCTGAGACCCCCGCCTGCCCCCCGCTCGCTGCTCTCCACCCTTCCCAAGCTTCTCCCCCAGCCACCAAACACTTGGGGCTGGTGGATGCCGTTATTTTCTTCCATGGGTTCTTCAGCCCCAGAGCACCCACGGAGTCGGCACCTATGGTGGGTGGTATTCCTGCCTGAGAGGTGGAGGAGCATGGCTGATTGTAGTGCTATCCACAGTGACAAATGTAAAAGCAAAACAAAGCCCCAATAAGGGTATCTCAGAGACAACAGAAAGTCATTGCTGGCCTAAGCAAAGAGACAGTGTGAATAAGATGGAATGGCCCATCTACATCAGAGTAGTTTGGGTTTCTTG